ACACTGGCATGTAATTCCTTGAACAAAGACCAAAAAACCAAAAGGCTTGCTGACCTACAGAGCTGCTAGATTATCTTTTGAAAGCAAGGGAGAGTAAAAAAGGAAGCTCTCTGATATTTTATAACATCAGTGAGTGATGTTCGTGAATGCAATATTAACATAACACTTCTAAACAAGGAACAAGGGTGAAAGTCGTATTTTATGTAAATTCGATCAAAAGCTAATCAAGCGATAGGAAAGTTGGGGGTGCGTAATCGCTGCGAAGACTCTCAGCAAAAGCAGTGTAAATTGGCTGGGGTGTGAGTTAGCGCTGGGTGTGTCAGCCAGGCACAACATTTTTGTTGGCACATGAGGGGATATCTATCAACAAGACCAGCATGGGAATGCATCTTTATCACGCTTTAAAAATAGCTAGGAAGCATGGTAGCTGGATTGTGTCTATGCAGGTGTAGTCTGTCATCATTCTCAATTTTCATCCATTTTTTGAAAATATAATCTAGTTATATTATTTTGTTTCTTTCATATGTTTTATTTTTTAAGCAGTCACAGGTATAACTGCATTTGGGCTGTTTCTTCATGGCCGAGAGCAGTTCAGGAAAGTTCAGAAACCGGGACAAACACAATTGTGTTAGCTGTAGCTCAGCTACACTTCTGCTACCCATAAGAGCTTACTTCTAGCTACTTAAGAGTACTAGGGCCCATGCGGTATCCAATGTGTGTGATACTCATCGTACAAGAGTTGCAGGTACTCAACGCCTCAGAAAGGCTGAACCTCGGTTTACATATTGCAGTCAGAATTGTCCTACTATTATTTTAGAAAATGAAGGGTTTCAACAAATCATACTTCGGAAGAATTTTTAGGATTGAGTCACACCCATCAGAAATTTACAGCAGAACATTGCAGAATTTACAAAGTTGAAGGAGTTTTGATGTATCTGCCTTTCAATGCTAGTGCAAAGATAAGTAACAAAAAAACCACTGGAAACACTGCATTCCAAAAGTTTCTAAATCAGTTTAGATACTATTAAGTTGCGTTAGAAAATTAAAATACTTTTAATCCTTTTAATCTAAATAGTGCACAGCTCATAACTTTTACCTAGCTGATCTAAAAAAAATTCCATTTTTGGGGGGGGGGAAACAGGTGAAAGAACAGGTTATGTTTTTAAAAACACTTCTGATTTATAAGTAAGGGAGGTGCATTTTCCACTGACAGGTTAGGAAGTATAGAGCCAGCGTTAGGTCAAAAATTTCCCACATCCAAACAGAAAGAGTCAATATACACGTAAATGAAGAAATCTGTTTCAGCTACACGTTGAAGCAGCACTATATACTGACAGCAGTGGATCCGGCACACATAATGCTAATTATCTGTGTAAGCAATTGCACAATCAAGATGAGTACATTTTGTTTCTGGATAAGCAAAAACACAATATAAGCAGAGATTTGCCTGACTAAAGCTGTTCTAAATAGACTTCTAAATGAGATCCCAACATGAAAAAAATATTATCTTTAAGTACTTCTAATGAAAAGCGTAACTTTGAACTCGTGATTTAGTGAACATTCCACTGATATAACACCACTTACTCACTCTTCTGCTGATTCTTTGTCATTTGTTTTTCAGTATTAACCTCGTGGCTAGAAGCTGTCAACATTGTTAAAAAAAAAGAGGAAGCTCAGGGAAAAATCTGTGGATATAGCAAAAGACAGGTAAAATGGAAATATTTTGTTTGTCACTTATGAGTAAACAATCAGTATAAGTGTTTTTTATCGTTAACTTTAGATTAGCTGAAAACAAATTAAAAAAGCCAGAACTTTTTTCATCTTTCCTTCCAAGTTTATTTCTTTCAGTGGATGTGAAAAAAACCTGAAGAAAGGTGGTTTACAGCAGTATTATGATGACCTCTTGTGGTTAAATAATATATGAATTTTGTTTCACAGATTCTCAAAAATCTTTCAGTATCAACGGTTAAATTCTGCTCTTAGATCTGAATAGTTTTGTGTCGCCAGTTCTGCTTAACCTGAATTAACTTCCCCTCCCAAACACACTATCAGTATTTGTTTAGCTCACTGCTAAAAAATTCTTTTAAAAATATCTCAACCTTTGCACTCCACAAGCTTAACAGGTGAGAGTATCATATTTTCTCACATGGTAATTTGTTAAAGCCAATTCACAGCTCTATATAAATAAATTCGCTAATAGAAAGAACTATAATCTTTTAATAAAAAATTACCCACTACAAAATATTAAAGAAATCATATGGCACTAGCCATTCATTATGAGAAATTAGAACAATAGATATTGAACATGATATTGATAGATTTCAACAATAAATACTGAACATATATACTTTGTATAAAAAATCAGTGCATTAGCTAATTATATATATAATGTTTAAATTGCTGATAAATCTGTCTCCTTTCATCAAATTTTCTTGTAACAAAAATCAGAGAACCGAGCATTTTCTGATGTTGTTGAATGCAGTCTATTACCCTGGATCATATCATCTGATACCTTATGCCTTGATAGATAAAATCACTCAAGACCCCAGCCTGATTTTTGCAATCCCCTGAAATCATGCAAAATTACACAAATTTCATGAAGGAACTTTGTTGAGTGATTATACTTCAAGTGATGGTCCTGACAGTATTTATGGATCTCGTGGTAGCACCTTCTCACTGGAGGATCACCAGCGGTGGTATTTGCACCTGCCAGGCAGTATTCACATGACCCCACACTTTACTAAATTTAGGACCTACTGCAAAGCCACTTGTGCGCTGGCTCTGCTGTCTGAAGTTTTGGAAGCTTGTTGGCAGCGTAACAGCTGGATAAGTGCCACACTCTGATACGCTGTGATTGCAGCTGGGGGAGGCCTGAACTCAGCTGCTGTGAGACACTACTTGTTTGTGTAACACACATTTTAGAGATCTTTGGGTTAAACCCAAACATTGCTCCTAGTGTACACAATAATGAGTCCCTCGTATTATTACCTCTCCTCCTTGAAAAAATTAGTTTCAGAGGCTGTCAAGTGAAACCCGCTAGAACGATGATGACAACAACAACCAAAAAACCAGGTTTAAGTTAAAATGTGGTTATCTTCGTGTGCCAGTAAGGAAGCACTGACAGTGGTCATGTACCCTCAAAAGTCTCCCCGGCTTTTGAAACATCATCAACAAACTTCTTCTGACAACTTCTTGCACGCGGCGGTTCTGAGCGCTGCTGGCACGCAGGTTGGGGAGACAAAACCAAATTGTTCGTGTGCGGGAGGGACCTGTGTGGTTTCTATTGCCTGATGGGCCTGATCCCTCTCTTCTTCTTTAGCTGGGTTAAGTCTGCAATGCCAAGGAATGACCAACTTAAAACTGTAAGCCTAATTTGCAAGGAGTAAACTTCAATACTCTAGGCACCATTCGAACTTTCAGTTAATTACAGTTTGCATATCTGAGCATGAGATTTTTTTAAAAGCCTAAATGCTGTCATTATTTCCCCTGCAGTTGGTTACAGGCATGGTAATAACCAGCCCGAGACAATTTTAATTTGACCTTCAGGGTGCAGTAGTATCACTCCCCTGGCTCAGCGTAGCCTGCCAGGTAGCTCGTGGCCACTTCTTGCCCATTAGCCAGCTGGCTAGTGACCATCCTAGAGGAGGTACCGGGTGGCCGCTTGTGCAGCAAACACCCAGGCATCTCGTGCCTCATTGCACGGTCTGCAAAGCCTTGCTGTGCCAAGAGCAAGGCGTACAGACAGGAATCACCTGGTGAGCACTGAGCTGTCATCAGTCTCTCAGCCCTCAGGACAGGGGTGAAAGTGTCATACCCACAGCCTTGTCCCCGTGGCTTCTGACTCACAACTTGCTGCAGCCACATCTCACACGGGATCAACAGAACAGCCAAGCCACATGTCTTCAGCCAACACAATACACCAAACGCGTTCAAAGCACTGAAAACTGGGTCCAAGGGATGAGATGTGGGTGGCAGACAGCTCTTGTAGTTTCTCTTGCTGATGTCAACTCTCCAAGCGTGCAGCAGTCCTCAGACGCCTCACTGCAACGTTCCCGTGCTCCAGTTATCACCTAAATATCACCTAGTGTGTGATAAGACTTTCCCTTCCAGCAAAGCTTGCAGACACGTGTCGCACACACGAGTGAATTTAGGGAGGAAAAGGACTTTTTGTGTTGATTACAGAAGCATAGCCACAAACTGTCAGCTTTGGGGCACCTAAATCTGAAAGGCAGAAGACTTAACAATTCAGTATAGAAGTCACTGATAGTTTTAGCAGTTTCAAGTTTAAATTTAATCAAAATCAGGAAGTCTAAAAAGGCTCTAAATCTGCATTATTGAAATCAAGATTCCTATTTTTATAAACTTCATTCTGTAAGAGGAAATATATGAGTTATTTCCACATCTTAGTGAATATAACCACAGTATTTTGATTGGAACTTGGACAAACTATAGTTATGAGGTAAGTTCTGAATACTCATTTTAAAGGCTAACGAAAGTCAAACTCGTCAAAGACCTTTCACCTATGGGAATGATCAGGGTAATTAATAGAAGGACCTTATAATTAGTATACATATTTATTGATAGCGATGAGCAGCAGAAAATTTTCAGCAATCAAATATGTTAAAAACCAAAAGGTATACAGAGACGCTGAAATACATCTAAGTTCCTTGAATAGGTTCTACCACAGCCCACCATTTTGGTGCAGAAATATTTTTTCAATGGGTGTACACAAATAACTTCCTGTTTATAATACATGTAAGAAATGTGAAAATGCAATCAAGCTTTGTAATATGCTTTCTCATTCTCCAATCAGTACAGAGCATTCGTGTAAGCAATGGTTAAATCTTATACTTCCTTTTTGGCTTCTCTTTCAACAATAATAGGTTCATTTTCTGGCTCTGACAGGAGGGAGTTGGATTTGCTGGCTGGCTGTTGTGTAAGCATCAACCGTACTGGAACTACACTAGGAGCAAGAAACAGGAAGAAACCAGTTGGTAAAACACAATCATAGGCTGGCAGGAAACCAGTGACTATTTGTCACTCCTTCCAAAAAGAAGGAAAACCGTTGGTGGCAGATATTCGGTACCATCAAGTATCCAGCAGAGAGAGTAAATCTCCTTTTCTCCATGCCGGGATACTCAGAGTTTTACTTCAATGTGGACCATGGCTACCTGGAGGGTCTGGTCCGAGGGTTCAAAGCGGGGATCTTGACAAGTGCGGACTATGTCAACTTAGCACAGTGTGAGACACTAGAAGGTAAGTCTGCTGGTTTATTTTATTTAGGAAGAAATACTGTTGCTTAGACCTTTGAAGAAGGGAATGTAAAAGACTGAAGTATCGAGAGCTTATCTTAAAAACCAGAGATGACCCTGATGTCCTTTGAAAAACTGTTCTCATATTTAAGTTAATAGATTTCCACAGGAGTTACCCTAGTATTGTACAGACTGATTTGCAAAGCAATCCAGATGATGTGATTTTCTAGTTTACTGATAAGGTTTGGAAATCTCATCTGCAGCATTCCTATGGAGATTGGTAACCTTCTCACAGATTTTAACCATGCTATAGAACTGTTCAAGTATAGAAATTTCATATCATTTCAGATGGATACAATAGTTCCCAAAATCTTATTAAAAGCTTACCATTTGGCCCTGAGTTTCTTTATGAAAGATATAATTTTAGTACTCTATTACTTCATGACTTTTAGGGCAGTAGGGGACATTCTACTTAGCAGGAAGAGAAAACTAGACTTCACAAAGATAAAACTGAACTGTTCTCAAGCTTAAAAAAAAAGCTTTTTTCAAGGTGACTTTGACACAGTAATAAAGAGAACACACACTAGTTTCCAAAACAGCTTTCTGTGGCCAAGACTGGTCATAGCCTGATGAAGACAGACTTGTACCAAGAATCATATGACATACATCTAGACACTTGGCAGGAAAAAATGTGACAGAAAAAAGCCACCTTTCTAAAGGAACATAAATTTTCTTTCCCTGACTCCAAAATAAAAGCTATGATTGTACACCAAAATAATTTCTATAACATGCAGTCTATTAGATTAATTTGAAAAATAAACAAGGAGAAATAGGGATCTCACCCTGTTTTAAGCATTGGTTGCTTTATGTTTGCAGTAATGGATTTGGGGAAATGAGAAATGCAGAACCTGATGATTCCCATATACAAAGGAGTTTTGAGGCTGTCTAAACTATTAATATAACAGCAACATAAGCCTGGGAAGGTTGCTTGCCATTCATCTTGCAGATTAAAACAACTACATTTAAATAGATATATGCAGGTATTTACCTGTCAGCAGGATAAAGTTCCTCTCGCTGTTCAGGCAGAGATTGTCAGTACAGGCAATGGGATCTAGAGACTGTTCAACTGACCAAGTGCAAGTATCTACTTCAGCTGAAAAGCTGGAGAGCTGTATCAGCTCCATTTCGTACAATGGCAGTTTAGACACACAGAACACATGTATACACTTACTCTGAGAACCGAGATCTATTCCTTATGTCAGCTGGACAAAATCAACAGCTTTTGTAGCCTATTTGTACCAGCAGTTGTGATTTACGCAACTTAAAGACTTTACAGACATTTTTTGTATTGTGTTTAATTATTTAAGTCAAAAAGTCCTGCTCCACGAATATAGAGGCTTCAGAAAAGCTAATAAAGCTTCAAACACTCAGAAAAGACACAAAGGACAGAATGAGGGAATTATTAAACCTTAGTCTTACTCCTGCAGAGGAGCTCAATAAATGATGTTATCAGAGGCTCCATGTATTTAAAACCCCCAAAAAATCCTGATTACTTCTGAATAAGATGAAAATATACAGGTTTAAATGTTTTTTAAAACATACAAGAAAAAAGGATTTCCCCTCATCCTTCCCAGAAGAAGGATGGTCATGTTAAGTTAAGAAAAGTTAAGAAAAACTATCTAAATTTTAAGTCATGCTACAAGAAAGTTATTTACAACGAGGAAGTAGTTTTCAAATATTTCTGAGATATATAAACCTTCAACATTATTAAGAGCATGCAACAGATGGACAGATGACAACAGAGAGATAAAATCCTTTTCTAAGTAAGATTTATAATAGAAAGAACAATGACAGTTTCATTTTTGAACCTTCTTCTTTCTATTGTTCATTCAACTTTAGAATGCAAATTGTTTCAGCAACAGAATCAGGAGCCTTCGTCAACCCGCCTACAAGCACATCTCTACTACGCACTGTCACTTCCCTTTTTTCTACATCTCTTTATCCACTGTATCTTTTCCTACTTCTTTTAGACAGCTAACAGATTCCCACCAGTTACCTACCAAATGTATTACAATGAAAATATGAGAAGTGTTGGATTTGTACATGAGGCTAAAGTACACTTATCTCTCTGCACATGTAGGATGCTGTAATACTGAACTTGCACCACGACTGTACACTGCACCAAAGACACAGACCCTTACCTCCACAGTAAGAAATGGAGCTTTATGCATACATTGCATTTTGTTTCCAGTTAAAAGTTCCAACATGTGGATTTGTACTGTAGTACTATTGTGCTTGTCTAATAGTGCCTTCAGTTCACGTCTTTACATTAAAAGGTAATAAATTTACCCCATTCTGCATTCTGTGGCATAGCACCACACCGCAAACACTGACCTAAGTTAAAAATATTATAAATATGCTAAAACAAACAAGCAGAAATAAAATCAAAACAATTCCAAGTAACCCATTAATAGAATAAAAAAGCTCTTTTCATTTCAAAGTGTTTTTGGTATCTCTAGAGGGGAAACCATAATGTCAGTACAGAAGAACCACAAGAAAAACTGTAGGTTAGTGCTTTACATCTGCTTGATAATCACAGAGAAAGTATAACAGTGAGAGGGAAAGAAAAAAAGGAGGATGCTAATTGACTTACGATACCACTGTGTCCTCTCAGTTGAGGGCCACAGAAAAAGGAGGCCTCCAGCTTAAATTAGACATCCTTTTGGGCTTGTTTGAATTATTATAATTTCCATGGAAACCCTGTGGGCTGCAACATTGGCTGAAACCTCGGCAACATGGCATGCTCCTGGTTTGGCCCTGTGTTGTCATCTGGTTTCAGGGGAACGGGGTCCTCAGAAGAACCCTGCCAACAGTCTTTGAAGTAGAATATGGGGGGGCGGGGGGTGTAAATGCAGCACTTTATTCTTTCCTTGCTTCCTTGTGTGATGGAAAGATTACTGCTCTCTAGAAGGGAGAAGTCACAGGAGAAGCACCGCAGCTCTGCTCCCCCCGACATCACTGAAGTAAGTTCACTTAACTTGCCAGAGCCAGGACGCGCCAGCGCGCGCTGGCTGAAATAGCAGGGTAACCAAAAGCCGGGGGTAGCTGGCTGTCAAAGAGAGCAGTCGGACACGACTCCATGTGCTTGATGCTGAGAGACCAGCTTAATGCCTTGTTCAAGTTCTCGCAATACTCCGTCTTTCTCAGCATCGTCCCTGTCTTAATTGCATTCATCTTAACCTAGTCTCCCTCTGCGCATTAATTGCCTTTAGACATACTGTTAATTGTGTTTGGTTGCTCTTCAATGTGAGTAAAATCATGTGATTTAAAATCACATTATTTAAAGCCATACATTTCCTACATGATTTTCCTGCATATAATTGTATGAGGAAATACACAATGCAGACGGATGGCAATAATATTGACAGCTGCAATACAGGAATTTTCTTTCCTAGGGATCTTTTGGACATGCTTGAAAGCCCAGGGTCCTGTGCAGATCTCCAAGAGCCCCTGAGAAAAGGAGCTGCTACCATCACTAAAAAGTTCTGGTGAACAGGAATGACTGAAGCCCCTGTAATGCTCAGCCATCTACTCCTGCAAGGTCATCAGGTCGCATTACTAAGTGCAAGTGTCTGACTCTTAGTCCCCAGGTCCTATTTATGCCAACAGCCAAGGGAATATCATTTAAGAGTCACAGAGCAGTCTGAGCTGCACTGAACTCTGCCATGGTGTGAACTCCGATTATGACATTCCTGATTGATATTATATGGTATCCGAGCTTGTGGATGACTGTTTTCTCAATTGGTTTGGCCAAGGCCATGAGATAGGGTTGAATATTGTTTCTTACATACAGTCTGCATGCTGGCATTTATTAAATTATTTAGGAGAAATACTTCCCTAAAGCAGGCTGTGGAAGTGACAGGGTCATAAATCCAATATTCCAAGGCATAGTATTTCCTCCATAGCTTTTGACAGCCAGGTGGGGATATTTAATATGTTATAGCTAATATTTTTCATGCCTTACATTAGGGCATGGATTTTGAAGCCACTCAATAGAACAGGAGAAGGTAACACAGTCTTGTCAAACTACTTTCAAATCAATGGGGTTTGGTTTCTGTTCATCTCATGATAATGTTAAACACACTTCAGAATTGTCAATATTTGGGGCTGATATTTGGGGTTTGCAGTCTGCTTTAGGTACTAAGCCTCTGAAAACCACCATGTTCGGAATGCGTTTGCAGAGTGTGGCTCAAGGTAGGTATCAGTGGTTCATCTGCAAAGGAATTGAGGAAAGCTGAAATTCAGCTCTCTGCATGTAATGAGGTAGTATTATGTAATCCCACCATACGCCAAGTATTTTTACCACCTTTGCAATAAAAAGAGAAAGTAAAAATCACAGGAAATGTAGATGTGATATGAAAATATTAGTGATTTTTGAAAAAGTTGGTCTTACATATTCTGACTCATTTCTGGGCATAATTCAGCATTTTTATTTATCTCTCAATCTTTCTTACCTTTCTCTGTTTTTTGAATTAAGTGGGTGTGTTTTTCCTATTCGGATTCTCTTTCTTCTTTCTACAGGGTAGCCTGTACTGAAACTATGAATATTTCCTAGTATCTGGCTCTGACCGATGAAAGACCAATTACCTCTGTCTTCTTTTGTCAACGGTTTTGTGACAACCTGTATAATTTTAAGCAGCAATTAGTTTACGCTGGTAGCATAAGTTCAGCCTATTGCAGGAAGATGTAAAGAAATGCCAACAGTTCCAGAGCGCTAGCTGAGTAAGGCTGTCCAACCCAAGAGTCTGTTGATGTAATTGCTAAAATGAGCTCGAGTGGCAGCTAAACTGCATAGAAAACTCCAAGGGTTATCTATCTCAGCAAGCTAGAGTGCTAGACGTAGGAGTTTGAATTTGCAATGTACTAGTTCTTTTGCGTTAAGTCCCAGTGTAGGCAACCTTATTGCATACTAAGAAAGTACAGACATGGGGAATTAGGAAAGAGTAGCTACTATACTGATAAATGCACACCTTGCTAACTGCATGTTAACTTCCCTTATAGGTACACCTTTTTTTCAGTCAGTGGGAGTGTTGCTGTCCTTTTCCCTAAATATAACTTCAAATTTTATTTGGAAATCTAATCATTATGAATGCCCCAACCATATAACTTTATGCCAATCTATAATTTATTGTAGTTTTAATACAGCCCTTGAATATAATTATGCAGTACAGCAGGAGCTTTTCTAAAAGGAAATGTTAAACTGTATTGAACATTAAGGACTGATTAAAATCCTTACTTTTGCCTCATGGTAGAAAATGGCTAGCAGAGGAAATTTGTCAAGTGAATTCTCTGATATTACAAAATATTACACGATAACCTGTGTTTCTGGAACAGCTTCTCAGGATCTGGTAGTAGCAGCCATAAATCAGACAAAGCCAAACCAGAAATGCTAAGAGAGTGTAACTCTGCCCTTTCAAATGCTCCACTGGAGAAGCCATTTGGAGCCCAGAACCTGCGACAGGCAAGATGTGTTCTCTCCTTTTCTTTGGGCAGCCTGATAACATAAAATTATAGTCTTACCTGAGATGTAAACGTTTCATATGAAAATTTAAGACCTTAACAAATTTAAAGGATGGTTCGTAATGATGCATAACAGTCCATAGGAATGCAGGAGACAAAACAACTGATGTATTATAATGGTGCAAGAGCGGTGCCCCGAATAAATCAGAGAAATCAAAACATTGAACAAACCTGATTGGGAAGAGGCTTGGGAGAGCAGTAATTAGCACTGTGCCTGGTGTGGCTGGAAACTAAAGTTGCCAGTGAAACTTCTGACAAAGGTATAAATTATTTGTACTTTCCTGTGGCATGCAGTGAGTCTTACTGGTAGAAGATAGTAAAAATTTGCAGTAATTATGCATTTACTGTATGTTAAATCTATGGCAAAATCTTTTCAATAGAGTATGATTAGATCCTTAATATTAAAATATGTTATAAATGAACATTTTAAAAGTCTTTTTATTTGGTTTGTAGACAATATAATGACAGTTTATTCTCATGACCTTCCTTGAATCTAATTTCAGATCTGAAGTTACATCTACAGACTACAGACTACGGCAACTTCTTGGCTAACGAAACTGGCCCTCTCACTATTTCCACCATCGACGATAAACTGAAAGCAAAACTACTCACAGAATTTCATTACTTTAGAAACCATGCTTTTGACCCACTGGCCACTTTTCTGAATTTTATCACGTAAGTAATGTTACCACATAGCTTACCACATAGCCTCAAAGTAAAAGCACAGCTGCAAGTTAAAACAGTGTAAATGCATCATACTTGAATTTCTATTACATTTCACAAATAGCAAAATTACTTTTATACTGCAACAATTACATACTTTATTTGCTAATATAAGTTCTGAAAATATATATATGAAGAGCTGTTGTCTTTGCAACTACTAATTTTAAAGAACACAAGCAGATTTTTTTTGTGTACAATGGCAGGAAGGGATGTAGAGTTTGAGAAAAATGGTTATAATTTTCAAACATCATTTAAGTCAGAGAACTTGCAAAAATGAAGTTTGTGGGGGTAATTCATGCAAGATTAGCAATTTCATGATGTACAGGGCAGTGCTTTAATTCCTAGGCATGTGCAAGTTTTAGACTTTTTTTAAAGGGGGAAAGACACATCATACATCCGCCATATTTTTTATACCATTTGAACATTAAACCCAGAAGAACATTATGCTGTGTATAGCAAGATACTTAGATCCAAGTAGCTTTTCAAAAAAGTACAATTGCTGTTTAATGCCAGATGAAGAGAAAGTTCTGATCTCAATACAGTTATAAAGAGATGAAATTTGTCAATGAATGCCTTAACATTAAGAACAAGGATCTGCTTTATAACAGTATAACAACATGGGTTAGTGAAATGTCAGCAAAATATTTTACCTATTTATTCCTTTTGTTCTTATCTTTTTAATATATTATAACAAGAACAGCAGACTGCTCAGCTTACTTTTTAGGTGTATTTTTATCGTAACAGAAAAATAATGTCTTTTTTTTGTGTGTGTGTGTCAAGTGTATCTGAGCAGTTTTAGGCAAATATATAAATAGGATCTTAAAGAATCTCAGCTGTGACCTGAGGCATACAATGTTCACCTTTGGCTTCAGAGAAATGAAAGTGAAAATATGAATATTATGGCAGCTCTTTTCTCACACTGATTGACATACACATGTACATGTGTATGCACCATCTCTGCACACTATTGGTTTTTAATAAACGGGGACACTAGTTTAAGATATTTAACACAATTATTAAATCATTGAACTACATTTCACCGGATCCCTGAGCCCCCTCCCAGATTATGTGTGAGATTGTATTGATCCCTACATGTCTCTAGCTGTGTTCTGAATCAACAATGCAAGCTGAAGACTGGTATCCTTGTTATATGCCAAGGGAATAGCTTTCACATTTTCAAGTCACTGATGAAACTCTTATCAGCCTCTCTGACAGTAAAACTAGTAAGAAGCTGATAGAAAACGTCTACTGAAAAGAAAACTTCTACCAATAAAGAAGAAAACTGTGAGAAACTGTTCTTACTTTCTTCATGGGAAGATGTTTAAAGCTGAGTGAGAAAAAAGCTGGAAGATAGGTCCACCTGCATGAACTCTGCAGTTTTAGTGCTGAGATTCCCATGCACTTCTTCTCTGACCGGATGGTCTATATGATATAATAAAACCCCAAACTAGAGAAGCTGCTAGCTCAGGTGATTTACTTTTTGATACTGCTCATTGTCACTTGTTATAGAATCATAGAATAGTTTGATTTGGAAGGGACCTCTAAAGGTCATCTAGTCAAAGCCCTGTGCAATCAGCAGGGACATCTTCAACTAGATCAGGTTGCTCAGAATCCCCTCCAACTTGACCTTGAACGTTTCCACCGATGGGGCATCTACCACCTCTCTGGGCAACCTGTGCCAGTGGTTCACCATCGCCATTGGGAAATATTTTTTCCTTATATCTAGTCTGAAACTACTCTCTTTGAGTTTAAAACCATTACCCCTTGTCCTGTCACAACAAGCCCTGCTAAAACATCTGTCCTCATCTTTCTTATAAGCTCCCTTTAAGTACTGGGAGTCTGCAAGAAGGTCGCCCCGGAGCCTTCTCTTCTCCAGGCTGAACAATCCCAAGTCTTTCAGCCTGTCCTCAGAGGAGAGGTGCTCCGTCCCTTGGATCATTTTTGTGGCCCTCCTCT